GAGTTGAAGTCCACATATCTTAAAGTGGCCAAGGTTGAGAAACACTGGTGTAAATGGTTCTACTATCCAATTACTCTTCCTGTTAAGAGGCTTTTTCCTTCTCTTTTTTTAAAATAACATTTGGCTGGAACCTGCTTTCCTGTAAAATAAATTATTATACTGTTACTTGCACTCAGGGAACAGGTCTTGACTTTCTCCTAACCTAACCCTGTGTCACACCCCTTCAAGTGCTTAAGAAAGCTCTCATATCCCTTCCAACTTTTCTCAAGGCCAAGTAGACCCACTTCCTTTGGGTTCCTCTTGTAAGACCTATTTTCTAAACTCCCTTCATCATCCATGGTGCCTTTCATTGCATCTGTTCCAATTTCTCTGAATCTTTTTTCAGGTATATTGGCGAGAACTAGGTATAGTATTCTAGATGGGGTCTGACCCATGCAGAATAAAGTGGAACTATTACTTCCCATGATAGGGAAACTATACTTCCGTTCATGCAACTTAAAATTACATTTGCCCTTTCTACAGCCACATCATACCATGTTTCTCAATGCACGCATAGACCCAACACCAAGGGACAATAGAAACATGCACATACAGCTGCCACATTTATACACCTGCCTAATTAGACCTTCACAGGCACTGGGACATGCACAGGCAATGTACATGTGTATGTATACACCCTGATCAAAGTGCAAATACCCAGAGAAATAACATGTTCCTTCATTACACAGAAGAAAATACAGAGCCATCCTTTGGCCACTGTGAAATAACTCCTAAAGTTGTGTTCTCTGTGCTTTTCCCATGTTGTTTATTCCCTTCAACCCAACAAATTGTTGGAAATACTATTTTTTTAGTTGGGTCTGGGGAATGACCTAGCCAAAGAAAGATCAAGTTTGAGACCGGTGTGTGAAGAAAAAAATCCAGAAAAAAATCTGACAATGTATTCTCCTGGGAGAGATAGTTGGGCAGTAGCTCAGAATGCCGCCGATTCCTTCATTCTGGCTTCTCTGATGTACTGTTCCTTTGTGAAGTGGTCTCTCTCCATACACCTATGTGTCTTTGTTTCCTGATCTTCACAAAGCCTTTTGTAAAGCTGCATTGGTTTCTTCTGCTGCCCTCCAATTTTTTTCTTGTTGGATTTTTTTCCGCACTGGAATTCTTTTAATTCTTTTAGTACCTCTTTCTTAAGGAACTTCCATTACCTTGAGCTTTTTTCCTCTAAACTTCTTCTGCCATGGAATCCTATTTATCTTTGCTCTGAGACGACTAAATCTATTTTTTAAGAAAAGGGCTCAACATGTAAAAGATCTTGTCAACTGAATGCCTAATGTAATTGCCTTTCAAAAACCAATTAAGAGAAGAAGACTATATCAGAAACAGTTCAGAGCAATCACTATGAGGACAATGTATGGCTCTAAGTAAGCATGAATTAAAGTAGGAATGGGGAACTCATGACATTCAAGATGTGCTTTCCAGGGTAAAAACTTCCAGTAGCTGCAACCCTTATGGCAGTGGTGATGGAATATGGGAAGGTGTATCCCATGCTAAGAATCAAGCAAAGTCTGCTCTTTCTACAGACTCTTACCAATAAATATTACAACACCTGAGGTTCTCTAGAAAATGGCACAGCCTCAGAGTGACACCCAAGGAAACTAGGATAATTGTATACCTGAATTAATGAATGCCTTCTTTTTCAAGTAAATGAGTCATGTTGTTGCCATTGGTGGATTTTTGAACCCTGAGTGTCAGTAGGAAATACGATTCTGTAATAAAACTATTATGACTAACCACTATATACGCCAGTGACGCCTAGCACATTTATTGCCAACTGTGAAATCAAACCAGTTGTTTGATTTATTTTGTCCTTTGTTCAGTTTTCACAGTATCTAGAATTTCATTATTATCTCAGTGAAGTAGTATGTGAAATAATTGACTAATGGCTCTTGACTTCTATAACAGTATACGTTATTTTTTCTCCGCTGCCACAATGGAAGTTAGGAGGGGAATGCCATCTGCTGGTATAATTGCTAGAAGAAATTATTTTTATCTTCACATTTCCAGTGGGTAACTGCTGCAAGCAGGCTATTTCTCAAGTAAGTTATTTTTAAGGCCATCAGACACAATTGCAAAGAAAGTTTCTGTAGGGATTTTGAATGAAGTGCTTATTTGATTAGGAAATAAATATTTTGGTTAGCAATTAAAACTCTAAAGCCTACCAATCTATTGTGTATGGTTTTCTTAATTTTCTTGAAAAAAACTTTATTTGACCAGATACATACATACATGTGCCTTTGAGTCAGTGTTGACACCTGCCAACTACCTGGACTAGTCTGCAGTTTTCTTGCCATGGTTTTTCAGAAGTGGTTTGCCATTGCCTCCTTCCTAGGACTGAGAGAGAGTGACTGGCCCAAGGTCCCTCAGCTGGTTTTGTGTCTAAGGCAGGACTAGAAC